TTATAGTCTTTTTGAATATTGCCGAGAATCCTGCTTGCCCAGAGTGTGCTGTGGAATTTTACCGAGGACTGCTGTGTTCAGCAGAAGCAGTTCACTGTGAAAATCCACCATGAACTGCAGTGTTCAGCAGAACATCATGGTTCTGTCCTTGGGGAACGGATGTGCTCTAACTAGTTGGGAGTTTGGTAATGAGTAAAGATACCCATATAGGGATGGTAGGAGTTCCGTTGGTTCTCTTGGATACGGTAGAATGAATAAACATGATGAAAAACACTCTTGTTACTCAAGAAATTGGCCAAGAGAATCTGCGCATGCTCCGGGGCAAGACCAAGGTGAGGAGGACTGTGAGCCTTCCTCCCAAAGCCCCCCGGAGCCGCCCCCCAGGAGGCGATGGGCAGGTGCAGAGAGACAGAAACTGCTGACACCAGCCTCCAGAACCTGCACGTGTACGTTTGTGTTCGGTAACGCAGGGAAGATGGACATCCACACTCGGGGGGGTTGGTGAAATGTGCAATGGGTGTGTGAGCTTTTTGGAGAAATTCCCTTGCACCCCAGTGCCAGAGTAATATTAAGTTGTAGAGTCTTTTTTCTGTGAATCAATACAGATATTAACTGCTTACATAGCACAGATATCCATATGCAGGAGTGAGGCTGCGTTAGTTCTGGAGGCTGGTGTCAGCAGTTTATGTCTCTTTGCACCTGCCCATCGCCTCCTGGGGGGCGTCTCTGGAGGTCTGTTGGAGGAAGGCTCCCAGTCCTCCTCACCTTGTACTTTTCCTCGGAGCATGCGCACTCTTAGCTAATTCCTTGAAAATCAAGAGTGGTTCCCGCTGGTTTACCATCTCTATCTTATTTAGAAGCACCAATATACTGTTTTCTACTATGCATAGGTGGCTATCTATCCATAAAAAAGACTAAACCGGTTAGAACCCATCTGGTTCTGACCAAATTGTCACTTATTTTTGCCAAACATACTTATTCTTGGTAAGTTTCCACAGAGGAATGCTTTGTTTTGATGAAGTAGCCCTTGGTAAGCTTCCACAGAACAGTCAGGGCAAGCAGGATTATAGAGCAATATTCAGAAATCCTTGTAAGTTGCTGTAAGTAAATTGCAAAGTAGGTGATGGTTTCCTTGGATCGCTCCCCCTGCCTCGGCCCTGTCCTGACAGCAGCCGGCTGCCCTCATTGTCTCCCGTTAACGGGTGCTGGCAGCCCTAGGGGGAGGGCGGCGTCTCCAGGGGCTCCTGCCCCAGCGGTGAGACCCACCGGGGCGCGCTGCGATGGACCCTGGGGGAAACGGCTTCTCGTTCTCTTCCCCTTCCAGAGACTCTGCTGAGGGCTCGGTCGGCTGCTCCTCCCGGGGTTGTTGCTGGCGGCACTTGCCTCAGGTTTGCGAGGGCTGTCGCTGTCTGGCCTCATCCTCCTGGCAGTGTGGGTGACCAGGGACTGCTGGGCACTCACTGGCGTCAGGTAGGAGCTGCTCTGGATGACGCTTAAGAGGCTAAAAAAAAGGTAAAGCAGCAGTAAAATGAAATCGAGGGAATAAGGATGTAAGGTGCCTCCAGCCACAGATGCGAGCCAGGCAGTTCTGAGTGAGGAGGAGTCCTCAGCTGCCCCGATCCCCAACGCCCGCCGCAGGGTCTGTGTGCATATGGCCGCAGGGAGGGGGTGTGTGTCTGGGAAGCCTCGTATTGCAGGAGCTGTAAATCACCGCTGTGCTCTCCTATGTGGAGGACAGTCAAGCAACTGGAGCTGTAGGAGAGGGAGGGCGAGAGAGAGAAAGAGATGGAGAAAGAAGCATCTGGACCGTGCAGTTCTGTGGGCAGTGCCAACATCGGGAGCCACGGTCAGTCCCAGGCCACTCGGGCTGTGTCCTGCCCATCTGTATCCTGGTCTCTCCCTGCCAGTCTCTGCATCCCCCACCCCTCCAGATCCTCACCAATCTCTGTCTCTGTTGTTGTCTCTCTCTTCAGTTGTCTGTCTGTCTGCCTGCCTCCCTGCCCGCCTGTCTGCCTCCCTGACCCTTTCTTTTCCTCTGTCTTTTCCTTCCCTGTATCTGTGCTCTTCTCTGTTCTTGTGTCCTGCTCCCTCTCTTTTTTTCTACATCCATTTCTGTCCTGCAGCCCATTACTCTTTTTTCATTCTCCATCTCTTTGTCCTGATCTGTATCCCTCTCTTATTCAGTCCTTCTGTCCTGTTCCCTTTCTCTCTCTATGTCCTGCTCCCTGTCCCTCTTTTTCTTGTTCTGAGTCCTGCTCTCTGACTCTATTTCCCTGTTTCTCTGTCCTCCCTCTCGTCCATCTTGCTCGCCTCCCATGGGTCAGTGTCTCCCTCTTGACATCTAAACTCTGTTCACATCCCCTCCAGGTATCTTTGTATCCTCGAGCTGCCATCAGGGTCTCTGGGCCCCACAGCACCTCTCTAGTTCTGTCACGATGCTCCCTGTGAACGTCCTTGTGTTCCATAGCCATCCTTCACCTCTGCAGCAGGCTTTGTTATCTTCCTGTTCTGAGATAGCTCTTCCCAGGCTCTTGCTGGGCTCAGAGCACTCTTACCTTTCCCTCCACCATGTCCGATGCCTCCCCAGTCCTCTGAGGATCCTGTCCAGATCCCCTCCCGGGTACCTCACTGGTCAGCCATCCATTGTTTGTCTCTATATCCGCCTTCCTCCCACCTCCCGGAGCCCTCTCGTTCCCTCACGCCCCCTCCCCAGGCCATCCTTGTGCCCCACAGCACCCTTTGAGCTCTGCAGCCCTTTTGTACCCCCCATAGTCAGAGAGAACCCTCGCTCTCAGGCTTTCTCTGTGCCCCGGCGCACTCTTTCCATACTCAGTGCCATCTCGGATGTCTCCATGCAGCTGTTCATCCCCTGAGGATATCTGTACGTGTCTGGGACACCTTCTTGAGTTTGGATTGTGTTCCAGAGCTGCCTCCTGACTCTCTGTCACTCTCAACACCCTGCTTCTGTTGTGATGGTGCCTCCCAGGGCCATCCTCATGCCCCCAGCCCTCTTTTGGCTCTGTAGTGCCCTTTGTACCCTTCTCGCTCACAGAGAACCTTTCCTGATGCCACCTTTCATCTCCAGAACACGCATGGTGTCCTCTGTGCTAGCTAGGACACCTCTGTCCAGCCCCTGGGCCCCTGAGGACACCTGTAGTCTGTTCATATCCCCTCTGGCTGACTCGATCGTGTCCTCGAGCGTTCCTTTGGCTGTTTTCCTCAGAACCCCTCTGCTACGGTCACGATGCCTCCCGAGGCCGCAGATGTTCCCTGCAGCACACTTTCAGCACTGTAAGCCCTCTTTGGACTCATTTTGTCACAATCGCACTGCTCCTAAGATCTGTTCCCAAAAATTAGCTTTCTTTTTCTTCTCTGTGCCATCTAGGAGAGCTTCCTTGTGCTCTACAGAATTTTGGTAGCACTTTGCCTCCCTTTTGATCTCTCCTGTGATCTCTCCTGTGTTCCCAGTCACTATGCCTCCTGAGACCTTAGTGTACCACAGCCCTGTTTTAGCTCTGTAGCAGACTTTGATCCTCTCTTGTTCCCTCAGAAACCTGTCCTTGGGTTTCTTTGCATCTTAGAGCACTCTTATTGTCATCCTTTCTGCCATCTTGGGTGTCTCTGCTTGGTCCCTGGCTTCCCAAGGATGTTTGTACTCTGTTCAGATCCCTTCCAGACTCCCTCTTTGTGTCCCTGAGCCTTCTTCAGTGTCTTTGGCCTGATCAGGACCCCTCAAATGGTGTCATGATACCTACCGATGCCTTCAAGGTTGCCCTTAGCAGACTTAGAGTTCTTTGTAGCAGAGCTCACACCTCTCTTGTTCTGTCATGAAATTTCACAAGTCCGTATCTGTGACCCAGCCCAGTCATTCTGTCCTCTCTTCCCTCCAGCCATGCCTCTATTCATTCCCTGGCCCTCTGATGACACGTTTACTTAGTTCAGATCCCATCTGTATTTAATTGTCACTTCCCCAATCCTTTTTCTGTCTCTCTGGCTCCCTTGGGACAGTTCTCCCAGTCATGGTGCCTCCCAAGACCCTTCTTGTGCTCCAGTTCCATCTTGTAGCAGTTTAGGTGGGGCCAACTTTGAGCCACAAATGAGCGCATTTGTTCCTCTGTGCTAGCCGGGATCCCAGTCTTCAGTCCCTGGCCACCCCAGGCCATCTGCACTCTGCTCAGACGATCACCTGACTTCCTTCTTGTCATCCCTAAGCCACCTTTTATCCATCAGCCCCTCTCAGCACCCCTCCTCTCACAGTCACCATGCCATGCAAGACCTTCCTCGATCTCCACAGCACCTTGTAGCACTTTGGCTCTCCCCAGGCCCTTCCCCTCTGGCTCTCCCCCAGCCCTTCCCTTCTGGCTCTCCCTTGCGGAGGATGGAGGAAGCAAGCAGCCAATTCAATGTGAATGATAGAGCAAGCTTCAACTTTATTGAAAGAAATCACACCTTACATAAGCACTCTACAATAATCATGCATACTACTCACAAATCTATTGGATACATGTAAAAGGCTACGTTATAATATCCCAGCCCCTTGTGGCATTTCAGCTATGTATAAACACCTTCCCTCTTCTGAACCTGTTTTTCTCCCAGGGCTGTTTTTCAATCACCCCCAAGGTCATAATGTACCTCAGTTTCTCTCTTTGTTAACATAACAGTCCTTTGTTAGCATAACTGTACCCTGGGTTTTTTCCTCTGTTTACCTCAGGTGGCTGTGACCAGCTCCTGCAGGGAGCTATGGCCTTGCTCTCTGCAAGCCGTTCTCCAACACTCCCTCTCGCTGTTAGCGCCTCCTTTTTTTGCTCCTCAGCACTCCTCACTCCTTTGTCTTCTCTCTGCCATCGAGGGTGTCTCCATTCACTTGTTCTCAGTCATCTCCAGTTTGCCCAGATGCCCTCCTGAGGCTCCAAGGCCCTCGCTGTGTCTTTTCTTACCCT